TAGCCTGGTGATGGGTATTAAAGAGGGCACGTATTGAAGGGAGCACTGGGTGTTACAGGCAAACAATGAATCATGGAACACTACATCAAAAACCAATGATGTAATGTATGGTGATTAACATAATAAAATAAAATTAAAAAAAAAAAAGCTGTGTGCAAGGTGGTCCAAGAACAAATGCACAGCTGCCTGCTGCATGGCACCGGGGGGTGGAAGACAGGTAGTTTGTTACTGTGCTAAGTAGAAATTGACCAAAATTGATCACAATTTACTGTCCAAGCCTTCCCCTAAACATTGCAAGCTTTCACTAGACTCCAGAGTTAGAAAATAATGACATTAGCCAGATTCTACCAGTGCAATTTTTGTCTAGGTGGGGAGATAAGATTACTGGTGCTTTCAACTTTGTCACCCTCCCTGAAAATTTATTTTTGTATATTGACCATGTCACCAGATAACTTTCTAAATCCATTTACTAAGTTTTACAACTTCTCAATTAATTCTCTTGGCTTTCTGAAGTAGACAATCATAGCATCCGTAAGTAATGTCTCCTCCTTTGAAATACTTCTATCTCTCATTTTTTTAATCTGGTGTTTCTATTATTTAAAAATGTTATTGGCAAACATTCTTGTCTTATTCTTTCTTGACTTAAAGAGAATATATTGGTAGTGCTTCTGTGTTAATTATGATGTAGGCTATTAATTTTAACTTCATACGGTTAAGGAAGTATTTTTACTTTGTTATTTACTAAGATTTCCCCCCAACAATTTAATATAAAATTTTCTTACTTAACACTGAAACATTTAACGTATTTCTAACACTTAAAAATTCTTGTATTTCTGAGAAGAATCCATACTTGGTTTTAATAAAATGCTGGATTTGACCTGATGGTATTTTAACTATTTTTATTTTTTTTTAACTTGAAGTGACTGATTTGTGATTTTCACTTTTGAACCGTCTTTAAAAGGCTTTTATGTCAGCGTTAAAACACCTAAAATGAACTGGGAAGTTTTCTATATTCTCCTACATTCTGGAGAATTATCTGTTTGTAGGTGTGAATAAAGCTATCTGTGTAACCTGAACTAGGCCTAGCAGCATGTTCTTTAATAGTTTTTCTTCCCTTGCAAGGTGTATTCAAGTTTTCCACTTCTTTTTCATTCTTTTTGTCAATACATATTGTTTTAAAATCAGTCTTTTTATTCAGGTTTTCAGATTATTTCAGCATAAAATTGCTGTATTTTAATATGGTATTTCCTAATAAATTTTAATTATCTCTGGTTATTTCTGATATTCTAATTTTTAATTTTCTTTGGTTAAAGAATTGCTAGAAGGTTTGTCAATTTTGTTGATCTTCTCAAAAAATCAATATTTTCCTGTCTTCTAATTGATCATAGAAATTTAAGTCCATTTTTCCTTTTACCACAGTGTTTTGTTCACTTTCAAATTTCATAATATGAATGCCTACTATATTATATTTTCAGTCTTTAGTCCATATGTTATCTGACTGGTAAAGCTTTGGGTAATATGCACATCCATGTGCTTTTCCACATACTGCACTCTTGCTCCTGTCCTCACCACACAGCTAAAATAGAATGTTCTAAGTCATGGATAATCTGTATGTTGTCCAGGATAACAAATCTGCTGTCCTTATTTTACTAGAACTCTTTATACAATATCTGTCATTAACAATGTTCTCCTTCTTGAAATTCTATTCTTTTGGCTATTCTGATAAAACTCTTCTCACTTTTCTCCTGCCTCTCATGTCATCCTCCCTCAGCATCCTACCATGGGTGGGCTTGTTTTCTTCTCTTAAATGTTAGGGTTTCCCAAGACTGTGTGCCTTGTGAACTCTACTCTTATTAAACATGACTTCTAGTGACCTCATCCAAATCCATGGACTCAACTATCTTTTACATGCAAAACTCTAAACCCAAATGTACAGCTCACAACTAGATTAGACAAATAACAATGGGATATTTCAAGGTATCCTACCTACCTAATGTGGGCAATATATCTTTATCCTATAAAATTTACCCTCTTCCTATATTCTATATACTTGTGATTACTATTGATATTCCCAGGTTGGTAACATAGAAATTATTTTAGGTTCCTGCCTCTCATGTACCCATATTCAATCAGTCACCAAATTTTGAAGGTTTACCTTTACCCCTTAAGAATGTGTTCCTTCATGGCTCTTCCTAGAATCTCTACTTTAGATCATGTATTTTCATAAAAACTACCTTGATACTCCCCTAATCTTTCTGTCTGCAACCTGGTCTCTCTCCTATCTACATGCTATACCACTTTCCAAGTGATTTTTTTAATAAATGAAAAATTTGTTTACCGGTGACTCATAGCTTATGTTCTTGCATATTCTTTTTGTTTCCTCTACTTAGGATGACCTCTGTCCACCCTCTTTTCTACCTATTTAAATTCCACGTCCTTCCAAATTCAACTCTTCTATCTTCCTCAATGGAAAGCTCCTCCTTCTGTGCTGGCACAGAACCTTGGCCACATATCTTTCATAAACTATGTGATTCCATAGCAATCACTGATTAACTATTCTCCACTAAAGGGGAAGCAATGTGAGGCTAACCAACCTTGTTTGCCACTATAATCTCATCACCAGCACATTTATTCATGTTCAAAGTATGCATGAATGATTTTTCAAAATTTTTTTTTAAATCAGAACTCATATAAACACATGCATAACCAGCACTGACTGTTAGTAAACTTGTGGTGTAAACAAAAATACATATAACAGGAAAAAATTTAAATAGGTCCAGGTCTATAAATTCATATTGCTTTTCCAAAAGAATTTGAGTTGTGCATGGGGGTCAGAAAGTAGATTCCTATTAAGGCTTCTCTGAGCTTAGGAATATAAAAATTGACCAGGGAAGTCTGGATTAGAATGCTACTCACTGTTCTATACTATATTACAAATCTATGCCTAATTCAGCCAGCCTATTAGATTGAGTGGTATGATTAAAAGAAAAAACAAAAAAACAAAAATAACCCAGTACAGTGATTGTGATGTATCCTTCAAAGACTTTGAGTCCTTAATGAAACAAAAATAAAGAAGGATGGGGCGCCTGGGTGGCTCAGTCGTTAAGTATCTGCCTTCGGCTCAGGTCATGATCCCAGGGTCCTGGGATCGAGCCCCACGTCGGGCTCCCTGCTCAGCAGGGAGCCTGCTTCTGCTCCCCGGCTCCTGCTTCTTTCTCTCTCTCTCTCTCTCTCAAATAAATAAATAAAATCTTTTAAAAAAAATAAAGAAAGAAGGATTTGCTTATTGTAAACCCATTCATTAAGGTCTTGCCACAACACACTGCTCAAGTGAAAAATATTAGCTCTCAGGACTCTTTCAGATTTTTGTTGTGGTTGTTTGTTTTTTGTGGGAAGTTTTTTGTTATCTTCTTTTCATAATTAATTGTAGTATATAACTCAAAGGAGCATAAATTTCTTAAGGATAAAACTGGACCACCAGAGAGTAAATATATAAAGCAAGCTGTTTAGAAAAAAACATTAAGAGTTCCAGTTTTCCAATCTGTATGTCATCTTAGTCCTGACCTAAATATAATACATTTGCTTTAATTACAAATTTTTGGTTATAGAAAACTGGTAATGAAACTAAGGCTTGAGATTCTGTCTCCAATTATGACTCAATGTTATACTGTTCCAGGAACCCAGCCTATAAACCTAGATCCAGTAAAGCCATCTCAAAATATATTTTGTCGTTCAAAGGAAGAACTCAAGAGAACATTGTACGGAATGGGAAAAAATTGTCACCAATGTAAAAACTGTAAAACAATATTTTTAAATGTGAAACATTCACACTCACATAGTTTAAGAATCGAATTTTTCAAACATACCTTGTCCATTAATTTACTTGCATGAAGACTCAAGCAATTGAAGAATATTTTTTTGCTTAGCAAATGCATTTCTTCAATGGTAGTCAATAATGTAGTTGCACTATTTCCAACAATGCCACTAAAAGCAAAGAATATTTCAGGTTGCAAAACAGAAGCTAAAACAATCAATTCTTTAACTGAGTATAATTCATTTAAAAGACTGATCTAGATTTAGGGGCACCTGAGTAGCTCAGTCAGTTAAGCATCTGACTCCTGATTTCAGCTCAGGTCCTGATTCAGGGTCATGAGATCGAGCCCCATGTCAGGCTCTGTGCTGGGCGTGGAACCTCCTTAAGATTTTCTCTCTCTCTATCTGCCCCTTCTGCCACACACCCCCCATGCTCTCTCTCTCTCAAAACAAAACCAAACCAAAAACAAACAAACAAACAAAAAAAAACCCATCTAGATTTAAGTAAAAGTGTGTATGTAGAATATAAACTGTGAATTAACAACAATCCCTCTAGTTTCATATAAAAATGACAGGGGTTTTTTTTTGTTTTTTTGTTTTAGAGTTAGGTAATTAACACACGGTTTCAATGTTGTACAATCTCTTTTAGAAAAACAGACAGTCATAATATGTAAACCCATCTCTCTATTTTTCTCTATTACAGTAAATGCACCTCTTGATTATCCAAGACCTAATTTTAATTTTAAGGAAGCCATTCCATCAATAGCTCTATTCATAAAATATTTAAATTTTATTAACACTGAGTTATTCTTTCAATTAAACTCTTACATCACATCTAAGTTATAAAGTTTCTCAATTTTTATACAACTGCCTAAATAGCAGTGTATTTAGACTAATTATGAAAAATCTGGTAGTATTTTAAAATATTTATTAGCACATTCTGTACTCCTTAATTTGCTATATTTCTTAGACCTATCCAAGGAGTTTCTCATTTTTGCCAGAATGTAAGACAAGCATGTATATAAAACAATTCCCAATTTTATTCTCCAAATTCGTGTATTGAAAGTCATTTAAAAATGTGATGTTAGGTGAAAAAGTTTTTTGTTGATGTGAAAGACTGCTCAAAATAAACAAAATGGCATTGATAAATACCAGTGGATAGTAAGCAATAAATAAATAAATAAATAAATACAGCAAATTTAGAGAAAACTGATATGCTGCATATGATATATTATAAAAGCAAATACTAATACTATATATTTCAATACATTCTGAAACTGAAACAAATTGGAATGAATTCTTATATATTTAATCCACACAAAGCAAATTAACAGTTAAAAAAATATATATAAAGCAAACAGCAAAGTAAAAGCAAATTCCTAAACAGGCAGCCATAATACCTACATTAAAAAAAAAAAAGTATTTCGGTTAAAAATATTATAAGCTAACCACCAAAATAAATTGAAAGAAATTCTCACACATACCTATACATGCAATAAAAGTAAGTATGCCTCTGAATAAAAGTATACCATCCTAAGCAACGGGGGAAAACACTGAATGGATACAAACAGAAACTGATATTTTATTTTTTATTTTTTGTATTTTTTAAAGATTTTATTTATTTATTTTGGTGGGGGGAATAAAAGCAGGAAGAGGGGCAGAGGGAGAGGGAGAGAATCTCAAGCAGACTCCCCACTGAGCGCGGAGCCCAACACAGGGCTCGATCTCATGACCCTGACATCATGACCTGAGCTGAAACCAAGAGTTGGACACTTAACTGATTCAGTCACCCAGGCTCCACAGAAACTGATATTTTAATGCAAACTTTGGAGAGATACCAAGATATGTTTACATTCATTTAAAAAAAAAATGGAGTTATCAGCCATATTTTGCAGTTACTCAGATCTCACTACTCACTAGGTACCAGTAACTGGGCTAGATACTTGGAAATGCTTTTTGTATTTCATTCCATATTTCTACCCAACATGCTTATCCTCCCATTATATTTTTCAACTTTAGATATTATACAGAAAAGTTACATCTCTTACATAATGCTCATCCCCCACCACAACATACCCAAACTTCATCTTTCCCAGGTTCCCTAATATAGTTATATCATAGGGTTCTGGTGAATAAATACTCAATGTTTACATTATTACAAGCACGTAAATACTATTCAGAGCTGTCCAAGGCATCAGGGATTTCAACATAAGAGAATGAGCAGGTGGATAAAGAAGACAAAACCCTGTGTCACAGCCTTGTAGTAGGTCTAAAGAGCAACCAATTCTGACTGGAGAAAGAGAATGGCGCCTCCAAGATGCATGTGGGAAGAGGAGAGGAGAGAGAAGCTGGGAAGGACTGGTTGATGTGCTTGACTAAATGGTGACAAATGTAGAGTCTACTTAAGAGTTTGGGTCTGAAATAGTGATAAGGACATAGGAAAGGAAGCAAGTACAAAAACAAAGTGATTATTAACTACAGAGAGAAAAAGTTTTACAGTAAAGGAAATGTAATCAACGTATGCTGGATTCCCTGTTTTTATGGATTCTACATCTTCCTTTTCTTGGTTTACTACGGCCTTTTGATGGAATCCATCCTTTGGGAGTTTTAGCGTATAGGACGCAAAATATTTTTGAAAATTGTGTCACCCACTTTTCCCCAACATCACTGGCTATTCTTTTCCAATTTTCTTTGTGGGTTTCTTTTTTTTCCTAACCTCTAAATATTAGGGTTCCCCAGGACTCAGTCCTAGGCCTCTTCTTTATCTACACTCACGTAAGTGATCTTACTTAGTCTTAGTGTTTCAAATACCATCTATATACTACAAACTATCAGATTTATAGGTTCAGCCCTGATTTCTCTGTTGTCTGCTCACTCAATATCTCCCACTAAATGTTCATAGGGATGCTGAATCCGACATAGTCAAAAGTGGGCTGGACTCTTCATTACCCACCCATTCCCATCAAACTGTCCTCTCTAGAACCCTCCCTCTTAGCAAATGACAATACCACTAATCTAACTCTTCAAACCAAAAGCCAAGAACTCATCCCTGACTCCTCATATCTCACCCTCTCTAGTCCATATATATCCTCTTGTCTCTGGAAACAATTACTTTTCACGCCCTCCAAGACTATCACCCTACTCTGATTCATCACCGTCTCTGCTCAGAACACAGCTTCCTAAATACTGTCCTTGTTCCCCTTTACCCCACTACACTACGTTATCCACACAGTGCCCAGAGTCACCTTATATCATAAATCAGCTCAAGTCACTGAAACACCCCCCGCACACACACACACACACACATCTTCTTCAACCCACTCAGTATAAAATCTAAATCCTCACCATAGCCTACGAAGTTCTACATGATCTGGCCTCTGCCTACCTCTCTCGTTTCATCCCTCCCTACTCCTTCCATTCACTCTTTCCAACTACTGGCCTTCCTTCTGGTTCTCTAAAATGGAAGCTTTTTCTGGCCTCAGGGCCAGAGTGTACCTGCCTAGCACACTCTTCTCTGAGATCTTTACATGCCCAACTCCTTCACACTCTTTAGGTCTGTACTCAAACATCACCTCCACCAAAACGCCTTTAAAACAGCCACATGCACATACACCTGCTCATATGTGGTCACTCTCTATGCTTTGTTTACTTTCTCCTGCTTTATTTCTCCTCAGTGCCCTTATCACCAGTTAAAATTATTATTTTATACTTGCCTTTCTCCCCCATTAGAATGTAAGTTTAAGCTATTTTGTTCACTGCCATTTCTTTAGCATCTAGAAGAGTGACATTTGTAATCAGTTTTTTAATTGACTGAGGAAATATGTGAACAAGTAAAAAAAGTACACGAAAAAAATGTATCAAAAGATCCAACCGTCATCTTCAAAATCATCACCTTCAAAGACAGAAAAATTGTAATTCTCAGAGTCTAAGGAACCTATTACCTTCAGAATCCAAATGATTTTTTCTTAGCATTATTTGCATTAGAAACTGAGTTATCATTATCTTCAAATAAAAATTTCATGCAGTACCATCATGGGTATTACTACATAAATAATGTGAAAATGTTTTACCACTACCTTTGCCTAGTATAGCATTAGTTACAGTGTTAGCTGCTTTCAGTGGCTCTTGTGTTTCCTCAGTATGGATGATTCTCTTATTTTAGGAAGCCTATAACATCACAATTGAAACTAATTTATTGCTTTTGAGTCATAGCAAGTGGTGATAATAAATTTGTATCTAAAATGTTAGAGGACTAACCCAAATCCTATCTCTGATTAGTTTTATAGCCTGTGGCTTGTTGGTTTTGTTTAAAAATATGAAACCCATCTCTTAGCTGTGAAGTTTTGGGTGGCTAATCTCAGCTAATAGAAGGTAGGTAACATCATTGCCATAGTCTTTCAGTGCTTCGTGAACTACTGATCCCTGTACCTCTCCTGGATCTATTAGTTATAACTCTCTTGGATTTTAACAATTGAACTTCTGTTCTTGATTCTAGCATACTGGATGAAAAGTAACTGTTTTAAATCATTTTTAATGGACTAATATGGAAACTATCCAAAACAGAGCTTGAAATTCAAGACACTGTTTTAACACAACTACGCATGGAACAAGGTCTTATAGTAACATAATAAAGCTCAAGTGTATACCATCAATGCAAAGTGAAAATAAATGCACACTTTAGAGTCAAAGATCGTATTATAGAGAAAACAAGTGGTTCCTAATCAGATAAAGGAAATTTTATTTAAAGAAGATAAAGTAGCTTTTATTTAAAGCAAATAAAGCTATAGTTCTGCTTTATCACTAATAGGAAACTAAATGATAAAGAATTTACATTATTTACGTCGAGGATAGGGCACTTCACTTACTGTGCCCTGCTTTGAGTATAATTAATGTATAGTTATATTAGGTGCCACATATCTCTTTTACTGATGCAAAAGGATTAAAAATATACTCACCCTATAAACTTACACTGTTATAAGTTGTATGTGTGCACGTGCATGTGTGTGAGGGTGTGTACAGTTATGTTTAGGGAAGAAAAGGAAATGACAGACCTTAAAATACAGCACAAATAATATATATATAATGATTCATATGGTGTGAGGTTCTGCTAGTTATATGTAGTTGTACAAATGGTGAAAACAAAACAAAACAAAATGAAAAAAACAAAAAACAAGAACCCTTATACTGTGTTCTAACTGAAATGATGTATCACATAGGATTTAATAAAGCACATTTAACCATTCCACTTACCTGATTGTATGATGGTAAAATTTGAGGAGGTTAGAAATTTTATATAACAAAACTGCCCCAGGTTCAGCAACTATTACTTGTTCAATTCGAACCTATTGAAACATGTGAAAAAAAATTAAACATTTCTTAAAGGCATAACTTTCCTTCAATAATCACATGTGGTATATACAGCATTTAAAAAGATAAAATTTAATTATTGCAGAAATCACAAAATTCCTTCTAAGTAATTTCTGAATATTAAATTATAGGAGATGGTAAAATAACAGAAACATTTTAACACAGATATACTCTACAAAAGAAAAAAAACAAAACAAAACCCAGATCCAATACCTACAGAATTTGGCTGAAGGCAATTGCTACCAGAAATAATACAATGATGAAGTCATTGTGAGGGTTTTCACCAGATTATAATGGAATGCAGTTCAGCACTATTTGCAAAGCAGCTGTTACATCCTAAAAACAGATTATCAGTGCAAATACTGCTCTATCACCAAATAATCAGAGAAAAATGAAAGAATTCTTATCTTCAAACTATTACACCAAATTTCCTTTTTTATTAGACAATAACAGACAAATCTTAAATTAGCACTCCCATATATGTCTAATTATGGCTACCAGGGCAATATCAGATCTACTGCAAAGTTAACTTGATTACTCTTAAGATTAACTACTAGGAATCCTTACTGATCTTGCCCTTACTTTATATTCCCTAATTAATGGATACAATCTAAATCACACTGATAATGTGCTTATTTACGTATTATATCTGTTCTGAAGCTGCTGCTTACATTGTGTCTTCTTGTTTCCTAACCAGATTCTAAACACAGACAATTTGTTTTCTGCTTCTTTTACATCTCTACAGCATCTGGTAGAACAGTACATACACAACAGATGCTTAATACACGCTTTTGAAAATTGAAGTTTCTCTATACTTAGATTTTGGAATATGTCATAATGCCAACATATGTGATTTGCTAAAATAGATTTTACAAATGTATGTATATGAGCATATGAAACCCTCTTAGATTACAGATTAAATGACCTTTACATGAATATGTTTATGAAATTCATACATCTTTTGGCATAAAGTACTAGTGGGCTAACTGACACAAATCATAAATCATGAATGGTGTGTGAATTTAAAAACCATGATTTTTTCACATTACAATTTCTCTCTAGGTCCAAGGCCTGGATCAATAGTGATTTAAATTATATATTATATCAATAAAAGTGATACTTTCTGAATTGTAATATAATTATTAGAACAAAATATAAAAGATATTAATGTAGATACACAGCTCTTCTCTAGCAGATTTATAACAGCATAGAACCCACATAATTTACAAAGCTCAAAGCATATAGTACACTAAAGTTTTTATTAAAGAGACAGAATTCAAATGTTAGCTGAGAATATTAGATACCCAAATGAGGTCATATAGGAAGAAAATTCTTAAAATAGTGTAAATGGTAACAAGTATATAGAGGAAGGGAAGAGTTGTTGGATTATATAATGTATCACTATCAAGCTAATTTGATATGTAACTACTGTGAACATCTGTTAAATATTCTCTAGAGTACACATTTAATATTACTATCATATGAAACGATCTAAGGTTTCTGTCACTTCAGAAACTAAAAGAATTTTTATTCATTTTACAATAGAAATATTTTTGCTTGCTTACAAGTTTTTTCTTCACCTTTTGATATCTTACATTAAAATTTCACAGGCAGTCATAATAATGCCCTATAATTGTTGAAAACACCTTTTGGAACATAAACATTTAAGGAAAATGAAATGAGGTACATTTTAAAACAAAGGCATACTTTGGTATATAATTTCTTTATATAAGCAATGGGTATTAATTTAATATTTTTAACATCATATTAATATTTCTTACTCAGACCAGAACAAGAAACTCTAAAGTCCATTCCAACCCTCAGATTCTAGCATTATATTTCATACAGTTACTTTAACAACAACAAAAAAAGGAATCAGTAATATAAGGAACATAATATCGTAAGTAAGGAAGGGGGTAAAGGGAGGTAAGGCAGATAAAATACAATTTATTCACCAAAGCAATTTATTCATTGTTAGGACTCCGAGTTTCCTTTAACTCTATGTAGTTACAAAAAAAATGCAAAGTGTAGAAAGAGAAATATTTTTATACTCTCTTTTTCTATCTTTCCAATAACTGCTAGTATACAAAACAAGCAACATTTACATGAGTATAAATGTCTGAAAATCAAACTATGGCAAATAAATATTTCACTTGAGAGAACTAAGTAAAATAATTTCAAAATATTTTGCTATTTATTTACTGAATATGCAAGTGAATTCTAAGATGATCAAATTACAGTAATAATTAAATCTGTAAATCAATTGTTACAAGGGTGTGTTATCTGATATTTCCTTGCCTACAACAAAATACCAAAGAAAATCTCAGAAACAAACAAAAAAAATTAGTTTTAAAATTTGGTTCTTGGTAAGAATAAATCATAAACCTTCTAGATTTCAATTTCTACATAGTAAGTTGAAGTCAATCAACAAGGAAAGTAAACCAACAACTACAAAGTATTCCATAAATATTATTAAAGAAAAATAGCATTTGCTGCAAGCCTAGTAGGTATCAGGAACTATGTACTTCATCTACACAGTTTTCTCATTTGATCTTCACAACCACCCTTAATAGTAGCTTCTTTTTTTTTTAGATTTTTATTTATTGGAGAAAGAGAAGGAGAGAGCATGAACAGGGGAGAGGGGTAGAAGGAGAGGGAGAAGCAGGCTGCCCGCTGAGCAGGGAGCCCAATGCCAAAGGGAACTGGATTCCAGAACCCTGGGATCATGACCTCAGCCAAAGGCAGATGCTTAACAGACTGAGCCACCCAGGAGCCGCATGGTAGGTATTTTTATATACAGGTTCAACAGAAGAGGCAACTCGAACAAGTGAACACAATTAAGTGGCAAAGTGGAAACTCTAACCCAAGTTTGACTTCAAATTCTGTTCCTTGTACTATAAATAGTATTAATATAAAACTTACGTTATTTTATCCTTGTATTTATCATTTATTGTTATAATAGACAAAAAACGTACAATGCTTGAAACAATAAAGTAAATGGAACACGTTCTTAGAAAATTTCTGTTAAGAGTTCATAGATTAGTTATTTCAACTTAAGGGACTTTTTCTCAACTGATTAACACAAATTACCATGGAAAACACAATATGGTAAAAAAAATAAATGAATATATATATAAACTAAGAATATTTCAAATTTTCTTCCTTAAAGAGAAAATTGACAATATTTACTTTAAAATGTATTTTGTTATCCTACACTAATGGGTTAACTTGAGAAAATTATAGCTTGACTTCAAGCTGTTAACAGTTTTTTTAAACTCACAGGAATAAGGCAATAATTTAGCCAGATGCCATATAACATATATAAAAAACAAAGTATTTACCTTTAGAGGCCTGCACACACCCTCAGTAATGTGCCCAACAACTTCCTGGATATTTTCTTCAACACCTACAATTAATTACAACATAACTGAATATTCTTTTCCATATTACACATAAGTTCAAAAACTAACAAACAATAATGCATATGATTAATGGCACTAATAACAAACATTTAAAGTAACATAATATTTTATTAAGTTCAATATCTTTTAGGACATTATTAATTATGTTAATGTCTGGGTCTAGACCCTTGTTAATTTATTGCACTGCTGACTAATAAAATGAACATTACTTCTTTGTGAAAAAGAATAAACGTATGTATGAGTCACAAGAAAAAATGACTAGGAAACATATTAACTGAAGGAAGCGATGTGAAGACGTATTAGTATTTGTTCTACAAACGCCTTATTCTGGGCAAGGGTGCTGAACACAGAAGCTGAGGATATAAAGATGGAAAGCACACCTTGTAATCTAATAGAAAAACTGGCATTTACTAAATACTGACTATTTACCAAGCTCCTGTGTACTTGGGCATTTACTGCCTGTGACCCCCTTCTTTTTTACAGATAGAGAAACTGAGGCTTAGAAGAATGAAGCCATTCCCAAAGAATAACTTATTTCATCCAACTCCGATCTATATTCTTCCAACCTCTTCACATTGCCTCTCATATATACTTCACTAAAACATCTTTAAGAAATTCATTCTTTTAAACTAGGTAATTAGGATAACAGAAAACAACTTAAAAAAGTTCAGACCTTGTGCCAATCAAACAGACATGCTGAGTCTAATTTGAATATCAAAGAGTTAAAAAAAAAAATGAGGAAGGGTAAATAAGGATCTTCCCCAATTTGTACACTAGCCTCTCCTGCAGATCACATTGTGAGCCAGAAGGATGCGGGGCTGGGCAATGCAACACAGTCAAGTGATACCAGTCACAATATTTCTCTTTAATTCCTATCAAAAATAGAGTATCTTAATTTTCCATTTACCCCTCAAACTCTAACAGGCATCTTAAGGTAGTCACAATACTAAGAAGATCTGAAATTCTGTAAGAAACAGACATAGCAACTCAAAAATCATCATTTTTTCTTCCTTGAAATCAAGACCAAAACTTTAAGTACATTTAGTACTACGTGAGTAATTATTCAAAAAACTTTACAACAGTCACATGAGAATGAATAAGGGGTTGGATAGTAGAAAAGAATTAGTAGCTTAATGACCTTAAACAAGTCACTCAGTCTGTTTACTCATAGATAAAAGGAGGATAATACCACCTCCTGCCTTTAAAGCGTGGCACGCCTTTAAAGCGTGGTGCGGAAGATCTGAGACACAGTGTACGCTACACACTCCAGAAGCGCCTTAAAAGCGAGGCAGAGGAGTGCAGGCCTGATATGGGAAGGCTACAAGGGACCAGCACACAAGTGTGAACAGCTGTGTGACAGGAAAGTGATGGAGGAGAGAAGTCTATTAGCAGAAAAGGGGGGAAACCACAGAGGAAAATTAATTAGCGTGCTTAATGTGGCACCTAGGTGTGAGGAGCTTATCTCTGTGAAAATGACAGCAATAAGAATAGAAACAGAGAAGCCTTCTGTTATTTTCTATACTTAGACATTAGCAATAACAACCAGATGACCCACCTTGTATAGTTACATGCTTTAAGAGAGCTTCAAGGTGTTCTTTTTCAGAAGCAGTAGCTTGATGGAGCCAAGCCAACATATCTCCTACGTATCTAATGTAAAAACTAAATGTTAGTAAAGATTTCCTTCAGAAAAACATCAAATATTCCAACACTGTCCGATTACTGTACCTCAAAGGGTCATGGGAGTGCATTTCAATGGGTCTTGGTGTGCCTCCTGGACCCCCTCTCGTAAGAGCATCAATAAATCCACGAACAACGGTGCTTCTTCTGGCTGTCCCAAATTCATCTAAGGTATACCTAGAAGAAATACGTTATTTGAAAAACAGATGTGTTTCTTTTTAATGAGTATATCAAACTATTCATGCAATTTCTGAGATAACCAAGACATCTACAGCTTTTTTACACAACTCTCTCAAGCAATACTGTTTTTAAACAATAAAAAAATATTTATGAAATAACTTTATCATCATGAAAATTCAGTCTAAAGGTACGTATTTTCACTCCTCCTCAGAAAGAATGCTGGAATTTGGGATCAGTAACAGGGGCAATGGCAATAAGGGACAGAGCAGTGGGTCTGGTAAAAGTAAAAATCAAGGAAAGGTGGAAATTCAGGATTCTTCAGGTTTCAGCACCCTTGGAGTCCAAAACATGATGTTCTAGTGTTCACACAGGCCATACTATCTAGTTCTCAGAGGACTGCTTACAGTTAGAACTCTGCAATCCAAAAAACAACAATTTTTCTTCTACCATCAATTTTTTCGCAAATATACTATCCATATCCAAAAGCTTATTTTGACTCCAATACTAGACATAGATTCCTTAAATTTACTGACCAACGAGGCATACAGAGCAAAAACTTTTTTTATGTATATTCAGAAATCATCTTTTGTGGTTAAAAGAAAAAAAAAGACTTCCTAAAGTGAAGGAGTTTACAGGAAAGGGAACTTTGAACTGAGAGATCAGACAATTTGGGGTGAAATCACAGGATGGCCTGGAGTTGCCAAGAGTGCCCATTTCTTTGACTAGAATCAGCCTTGGTTTCCCACTATTACCACCATTCCTTACACCCATCCACCAATTCAAAGTTCTTGCTATTTTAAAAGTACACAGGAAAACAAGAAATTTTTTCGCAGTCCAATGTCAGCAGATTCTAGACCCATGAACTCTTAAATCTCTAAAGAGTTTCTAACAGACTACATATTAAGAATTATTTCATACCCTACATATAAACCAGTTACCAAAATTTGGGATTTGGGTTTCCAAAAGAATTAATTTCTTCTACTACTATAAAAGCTGTACTGCTTTCTTTAATATGCTACTGATTTAATAAAAAATCCACATTTTTTCAGGGTGCCTGGGTGGCTCAGTCCGTTAAGTGACTGACTCTTGATTTCTCCTCATGATCTCAGGATCATGAGATTGAACCCCATGTTGGTTCCACACTCAGCAGGGAGTCTGCTTCAGATTCTCTTTCTCCCTCTGCCTCCCCACCCCCCGTGCTCACACACACACTCTCTTTCTCTCTCAATAAATAAATAAAATCTTAAAAAAAAAAATCGTAAAAAAATAAAACCCACATTTTTTTAAACATAAGAAAGCTGGAAGAGGGAATATTTTTTAAAAAAAGGAAAAGTGTAGTAAAGTGGTCAATATCTACAAATTTGTAGGAATCTGAACCTTTTTAAAGGGCTGTTCACTAGAAACCAGATCATGGTTTTTTGTGTTTGTCTTCAGTTAAAAGGAAATGGGTCTGAAATTCTGTGCAGTGACATACTAGCAATAAATCAAGATGAAATGCACTATGCCACTAAGCTCTAAGCACGCAGTGACCTTGCAATCACTTTCTATTTTTTAAAACAAATTAGAACCAAAATGCTTTGATTTGTTTCTCATGCTCTTAAATTATAAATATGTTTAGTAAAGAGTGCGTTCCTTAAGTATCACCAACTCCATGAAATGACTTATGATCAGATGATTACTTACAGCACAAAATTCACGAACTTTTAACTTCTCAAATACATAAAACTCATCCTTAGAACCCAACCTGCCACAATAAACAGAAGCAATGTAATTTCTGTTTCTAGACCTATTCATTCTGACCACAAGTTATGTCAGAAACCGGTGAATTCACTGGCATTTTAATGGGGGTGGGAGTGAATTATCAAGCCTGACAAACACTGAACTCCGATCTGTATAATTATATGAAATATACATTAATATGAATGTTAATCCCCCTGCAACAATAGATATAATTTGAAGCAAAACCAGCAGGCACTACAATGAATCTTCAATGACATCTATATATGTGAAACACCTTTTCCCAGAGAAAGAAGAAAATTTGACTAAAAAGAGATTATTTCCCAACAAAGGTCAAAAATTCAAAATGGAGCTTTACAAAGGTGAATGTTAAAATGATATAAACATTCTAAAATGCCTCTGAGCTAAAATTAAAAATTAAAGTCCCCATTTTTAATGTCTATAGCAAAAAAAGAAAAGTTCTGGTCAAAAAGCAAATTAAAATATGAAAAATGTTGGTCAAAAACAAATTAAAAGAATAGTGTAAAAGCCTCCAAGAAATGTAACAAATACATAAAGAATGAAGAAGCCAGCAAATTACTACATTCTCTAACACTTTATATTCTGAAGGTCTACCAAAGGAAGATGTCAATCTATTCTACTTATAACAAATTTCTTTATGAAGAAATTTTTTTTTCTTTTGGAGATTTTTTTTTAATTTATTCATTTGAGGGAGAAAGCACCAGCAGAGGGGAGAGGCAGAGTGTGAGGAAGAAGCAGAATCCCTGCTAAGCTAGGAGCCTGAGGTGGGACTCGATCCCAGGACCCAGAGATCCCAGGACCCAGAGATCATGACCTGAGCCGAAGGCAGCAGATTAACCATCTGAGCCACCCAGGTGCCCCTACTGAAATTTCTATACCTGATTTATTAAAAATAAATAATGCATTAGCACTCTAGTTACATACTACCTAATAAAAACTGGGTGGAAACTCTTCCCAAGGACTTCAATAATTACCATTTTTCTTGCACATGATACCTACACATTTGAGACACACTAAGGGCAGTGAAGCTTTTACACATTACTTAAATAAAGTTCATATAGTGCCATCTGGTGGTTAAGAGATACATTGGTAAATTTTTCCTAAATTTAAAGAAACTACCACTTTGAAGATAAATGATTACATAATGTAAGGCCAATTTTCTGTTTTAGCATCCATCTTATGGGAATCAATTGGTCTTAAAAATCCTCCTTCTTCCCAAGTTAACTTCCAAATGCCTCTTACAATCTTCCCAACTGCACTGCTGCCTTTCTTATTCCCTGGCATGTGCCCCTTCAACATAAATCTTTTTTGCCTATTATAGTACTATTCTTTATCTTTCCAGCTTTTCCTGGCTGTCACAACAGACTCCAAATACACCCCTCTGTGGCTGACAACTTTCTAGTTTATCTCCTTTCAAAATAAAAGTAATAGCTAATATTTAGTGATGAGCAAAGCATTATGCCAAACACCTTATGTGAACAATCTAATTTAATATTCACAAAAACCCTGTAAGATAGGCACTATTTTAATCCTGATTTAAGGAAACTGAGGTTTCTGAAAGTAGAGGGGCTTATAAAAAATCAAATTCAGAGCTCACCTTCTAAACTATTATGCAATACTGCTCCTTTCCAAGTGTTTATCAAGAATCAAACTTTAGTAAAAATATATTTACATGGTAGAAGTCACCTGACCAAAACACACAAATGCATTTTTTTATTTTATTTTTTTTTTTAAAGATTTTATTTATTTATTTGAGAGAGAGAGAATGAGAGATAGAGAGCACGAGAGGGAAGAGGGTCAGAGGGAGAAGCAGACTCCCTGCTGAGCAGGGAGCCCGATGTGGGACTCGATCCCGGGACTCCAGGACCATGACCTGAGCCGAAGGCAGTCGCTTAACCAACTGAGCCACCCAGGCGCCCACAAATGCATTTTTTTAAACAAAGACTAACTTTATGAACAAATATGAATCTGTGGACAACGTTAACACTTGATTAAAATCAAATACCAAATATTTTCAGTATAAAAGACTCTCATAATTAACACCAATACCTTAAAGTAAAAAGGCTGGGAAAGAAATTCCAAGGTAGATAAAATCTGCTGAGCTGGTGATCCATAGTGAACATGGCTTACCACATATACATGCACCACATTCAGGGCTATTATAAAGCATCTCTTGCTACCAACCCAACAACCAGTGCAAGCTTTTGCAACCAATGTCCCCAAAAAACATGTTCTTTCTCAATCTACATCTTTGCACCTGCTATTCCCTCAACTTGGGATGTTCTCAATTCCCTTCTCCTCCTGGAAAATGCCTATTCAATCCTGAGAACTCACTTTAAACCTATTTCCCAGAGGAAACCTTCCCTAATGTTCATCCCTTTCCCCTACCACAGAACACCTGAGCCACACAGCACCTGACACAGGGACTCCAAAATAGCAATTAATACAGTCATTAAAATGGATGTGTTTATATCTGCTCCCATAAAATAAAGCAATTTGAGGGTAGAGTTTTATTGATGTTGTGTCTCTAGCACATAGAACTGTGCTTAACATATAGTAAGTACTCATTAAGTAGTACTGGAATGTTATTATTTTACACAGCTGTCCCAGCATTTGTGTTCTGGAAACTTCTTATGGGCTAAACAATGTTCCAATCAGAAAGAATAATGGGGAAATCCTCTTAAACTATTACAAGCCTCTGAAAGGCATGACTCAGAGCAGGATTGAATGCCTATGTAGAAGTCCCCTGGTTTTCTGTTTCCTGCATTATAACTCCCCAGTGGGTCTCCCTATTTTCATACTATTACAGAAATTAAAAATTTTTTAAAAATACTTCTATTTTATATAAAGAATAAAATTAAAATACAGAATAATAAAAAATATGTGAACAATTAATAATGCATAGAATTCTTATACAAATCATCATCATACATCTCTTGGCCGGCATAACTTACAGAATCAAACACCTAAACTCTAAATCCTATTAATGGAATCCTGATTTTAAATTTTCTTTTTTCATTTCTGGGAAATTATATTTCTCAGTCCCCTATTTGACCTCTTTCTCTCTAGGGAAGGGTTGATAGAGGAGTCTTAGTTTCATGCAATTCTAAGGTAGTTAATGAGATGACAGATTGAGGAAAAGCCCCTTAACCTCTACATAAATAAAGGGTAGTCTAGATATAGGGACAGCCTGCTTTTCCCCTCCTTATGGCATTCTATAATACACAATACGCAAATAAGCTGATGCTCCAATGATACACATATGAGATGAAAATATCACTGTAAATTATATTACTCAAACTAGTGTATATAATTTGATAATACTGAAAGCTAGCATAGCTCATCAAAGAAAAAGTAGATTTATTTTTTTTAAATTAGGAAAAAGTCACCAACTTATATAAGACAGGTCTATCCTGCAGGGCTTCCATAGCCTGAGTTAATACTGGAGATATGTCACATGATTCTTGTGTCAATGTTCTGCATTCACCTGAAAAACAGTTAACATATAATTATAGCACTTGTTAAATTAAAATTAGGTCTTTATTATATCCATTGTACACCCAGAGTCTAAATTCTTTAACAAATATTGCATGAAAAAAAAAGCTCAGAAAAACTTAGAGACTATGCCAATCAAAAACTATTTTATGCTGTCAACCAAACTAAAAATATAAGCTTAAGTATTTGTATAACTTTATATATATGACCACACATGCTATCCAGTACACCCCAAACCTCTATTTTATTATTTAAAAAACTACAGTTCCAAAGAAACCAATCAATGAACGAATATTCACCTAGTAACTGCTACACACATGGCAGTGTTCAAGGGGAAGGGGGGGCAAATAAAAAACACATTACCAATCCCTTCTTTTGGGAGCAAACTTTAAGCAGTTTGCTAAAAATGTTTATATAAATAATATACAGCAATAAGATTATAATTTCAAAACAGTTTAGATTCTAAACTTTTAAAAATCTCTACACCAACATCTTCTTTTACTATTCTAATTTTATGCATAAAATGCTAACTAATGTCTACTATGTTCAAAAAACTTAGAACTTGTTCAAAAATACCCAAACATTTGGTATATGTGGACCTCATACTAGCAGTATATTTTCTAGCAAGCACTGAGAAGAATGTATGCATGTTTGGAATTGAAAGTATCTTTTTTTTTAATCAAGACTGATTGACTTGACTATATTCCCTATGCTGTACTTTTCACCTGCATGACTTATTTTATAACTGGAAGTTTGTATCTCTAAATCCCCTTCACCTCGTTTGCCCACCACCCCCATCCATCTCCCCTCTGGCAAGAGCCAGTTTGTTCTCTGTATTTAAGAGTCTGTTTGTTTTGTTTTTCAGATTCCACATATAAATGAAATCATATAGTATTTGTCTTTCTCTTTCTGACTTACTTCACTTAGAATAATAATTCCCTCTAGGTCTATCAATGTTGTCACAAATGGTAAGATTTCAGTTGCTTTTACGGCTGAGTAATAGCTGATAGTGTGTGTGTATATATGTATATATATATATATATATACATATATACACACCACATATTCTTTATCCATTCAGTTGACCTTGGGTTGTTTCCGTATCTTGGCTATTGCAAATAATGCTGCAATAAACATAAGGGTGTATATGTCTTCCTGAATTACTCTTTTCATTTTCTTTGGGTAAGTATAATCTAGTAGTGGAATCACAGGATCATATGGTATTTGCTTGTAATTTTCTGAGGAACCTCTATACTGTTGCCCACAATCGTTGCACCAATTTACATTCCCATGAATACTGCCCGAGGGTTCCTTTTTCTCCACATCCTCACCAACACTTGTTATTTCTTATCTTTGTGATATTAGCCATTCTGACTGGTGTGATATCTCATTGTGATTTTGATTTGCACTTCCCTGACGATTAGTGATGTTGAGTATCTTTTCATGTGCTTGTTGGTCATCTGTAGGTTTTCTTTTGAAAAATGTCTAGTTCCTTTGCCCATTTTTTAATCAAGTTGTTTTTCTGGTGTTGAGTTGCATGAGTTCTTTATATATTTTGGATATCAATCCCTTATCAGATATATCATTTGAAAATATCTTATCCCATTCAGTAGGTTGTCTTTTTGTTTTGTTGATGGTTTCCTTTGCAGAAATTAGGTATCTTAAGATGACTCCAAAGTCCTTAGGAGTCAGAAGGTCATAGTTTAGAACCACTATGTTAGGTGTTGTGGAAGCACAAAAAAATGTGAGGGAATATCCTTGCCTTTGAGAAAGTAGAAATCTGGGCGCCTGGGTGGCTCAGATGGTTGAGCGTCTGCCTTCGGCTCGGGTCGTGATCCCAGGTTCCTGGGATCGAGTCCCGCATCGGGCTCCCTGCTCCTTGGGAGCCTGCTTCTCCCTCTGCTTCTCTCTCTCTCTCTCTCCCCCTCTCTCTCTCCCTCTGTCTCTCATGAATAAAAATAAAATAAAAAATAAAAAAAAAGAAAGTAGAAATCTAACTGGAGAGGCTAAGATATACATATATGAAAAGTTAAGTATAATGTACCAAATGTCAAATATTTCCAGCAGTTAGTGTTTAGAGATGGGAAAATCACTGTGATTTAATGTAGTCATGGAGAGTTCCAGAAAGATGCAGAACCTAAGTTCATTCTAGTATAGATATTACTAGTTAAATGTTTGTATTCCTAACTCCTTCCAACAGTCAGTTGGTAATATCTATTAAAATGTCATGTACTTTTGGGGCACCTGGGTGGCTCAGTTGTTAAGCATCTGCCTTCGGCTCAGGTTGTGATCCCAGGGTCCTGGGCTCGAGCCCTGCATTGGGCTCCCTGCTCAGTGGGAAGCCTGCTTCTCCCTCTCCCACTACCCCTGCTGTGTTCCCTCTCTTGCTGTCTCTGTCAAAAAAAAAAAAAAAAAAAAAACTTTAAAAAAACAATGTCATGTACTTCTATCCTATCCTGTCTTAACTGTCTTCTTTGGTTTTAACAGGCAATTCTGTGAACAGATTACTGAAACATTTTAAAACAAAACTAAAATAAACCACTTGTGGCAGGCAAAATAATGGCCCTCCAAAGATCTCTAATTCCTGGAACCTGTGAATATGTTATAGTACATAGCAAAAGGGACTTTACAGAGAAAATTAAGGTGACAGATCTCAAAACAGGGAAATGTTCCCAGATTACCCAAGCAAGTCCAATGACATAAGTCTTAAAAGTAGAAGAGGCTGGCAAAAGAGTCAGTCAGAGATATGATATGGACAAAGAGGTGGGAGAGATTAAAGTGAGAGACTGACGCAATCCATTATTGCTGGCTCTAAAGACAGAAGAAGAGGCCATAAGCCAAAGTATGTAGGAAGCCTCTAGAACTGGGAAAAGCCCTCAGTGACAGCCAGCAAGGAAACTCACACCTCAGTCCGTCCTATAGACTCAAGTTACTAAATTATGCCAACAAACTAAATGAGCAAGGAAACGGATTTTTCTTAGAGCCTCGAGAAATGAATGCAGCCCTGCCAACACTATTAGTGTGGTGACACCATGTCTGATTTCTGACCTACAGAACTACAACATAATAAATTTGTGTTGTCCAAAGTCATTAAGTTTGTGGTGATTTGTTAAAGCAGCAAGAGAAAAATCATCATGTATAAAACAGTTACTTAAATAATAAAAAATGTCTAATCAACTCTAAGATAATGTAGGGCAGAAATACTGACTTTATTTTTTTATTATCATCCTTAATCATACAGAGCTTCAATGATAGAAGATGCTCATGATACAAACACAGTATGTTCAAAAGTAAAGTTCATTTTTCTTTTTAAAAATACTTTTTGATTACTAAGATCAAAATATGATATCAAAGGTCAGGTGAAATAACCAAATTGAAAACTAATATTTATGAATCTAGACCGTATGAAAGAAATCACTTACTTTGAGCCCACCGATAAAGCCTTTCATAAGCTGTTTCTTGAAGCAAGGCCATCTGTTCCATAATTTCTAAACTAGGAAAATTAAAGATTTATTTTAATTTAAAGTTTTAGACAATAGCTACACCTAAGAATTTAACTGTTTTAATTACAGAGTGATCTGGTTAAAACATATTAACTTTTTATCATTTTATGGAATGATTTTTCAATAATTTTTTTATGACTTAATAAATGTCAAATTTTAATACCATCACTTAGATTGGCAAGTGTTGTTTTACTCTGTAAGTATAAGGGTATAACTAACTCCCTCCTTATCCAAAGATACATAAAGATTAAATTCCTCTTTCACAAAATGTCATTATTTCAAAAAGGACCTAGGATGCCTTTAAAATTTTAGAAATATACGAGGAAATGATTTGAAATAAATTGAAAAGGTTACTACTCACCCCGCTGTTTGTTGGTTTGTACGCAAGAGAACTTTGACATCGTTATGAATCCGTTTTACTCTTCCCAATGCCTTGAAAAAATCCTTTAAAATTAAGAATGCAACTTTAAAATGTCCATGTTTTCAGGTGAAATTGCATTACTCTAAACTGAAATATCACTACAAGGGAAAAACAAATCCTTTCACTTACTCTAATGAAGCCTTCCTATAACTGACCTCAACTTTCTCTAAATTTTTAGAGAAAGTGTAACAGATATTAATTTACATTTTAAAACATACATTAATTCAATGCCTGCTAGTACCAAATAGTATGCTAGTTGCTGGGAACACAAAATTTATAAAGACAAAAATCCCTGTCCTTAAGAAATATATTGTCTAATGAGAGAGAATGCAAACCTAAAGATGACTACATAAAGAAAAACATGCTACATATTACACACCTTATGACTTAATCAACCATAGCTTTGTTATCACTGAAGATGATGTTTTACATATCTTTTATATACCTGTTCTTGCCCCCTAATCCAAGAGTAGAATGTAAAGTTGGAGGCATAAAAACTGCTCATAAATATACAGGAACTGACTGATGCCGAACTCCAAGATTTTTTTTTCCTTTAGAAAAAGGCACTGAAGCCTTAGTTTCCAGACAGTCACAATGTTCCAATCATGAAAATAATGAATTAGTTATTTTTCTTTGATAAGTGAAATTAAAAAAAAAAAACTCTTCTAATACTGTTTACTATTTCTGCTAAGTGGAGGAAAGGTAAGATGTCAAATATTTCAAATGTGCACAGTTCCACAAACCATAAAGGGCAATAACCACCAACAAGTAATGTACAAACCAATTCTCTACCTACTTAACCCCTTACTCCCCGATGACTGATTGTACTCTAGCCTGGCAGTAAGAAGAGTGACATCTATCAAGAGCAACTCAGTGAGCCCCTCCCCCTTCTGAGAACTCGTCCTGTTCTCAACCCTTGAACGATGATGACGGGCTTAAGGTTTATAGCTTCTCCCCGTGAGAATACTGCAAGATTCCTTTTTGGAGAAAGTGAATGTCTTCAGGAAAAACAAAGAAACAAAACTTTAACTGGTTGTTTAGCATTTTGAGGGGCTTTAGAGTTTTGTGTCAGTTTGGAAACAAGGGCATAGATTCAGAAATTAATTAGATGAAAAGAAAAGGAATTTCAAATTCCAGGAAAGACAAGAAAAACATGTATTCATTGTAATGCCATGGTAATGAAAACAGAAAATGTCATATAACTGCACTGTAAGGTAGGAAGGAAAGACAACATGTACGTGTGCAAGAGGAGGAGAAGAGACTAAAATCTCCTACTTCGTGATAGGAAATCAATACATAATAGGTAACATAGATAACCAAAGCCTTTTTTTTTTTTTTAATCAACAGATCCAGGATGCAGAATTTAGGAAAGAAGCAATTAGCAAGGTTAAAAATGGTTGACAAAGGACTTAAGAGGTGAGAAGTAGGTTTTCTTTATAAATTTGATACTCTGATTTCTTAAAAAAAAATTTAAAGATATCGCTTTGAATAAACAAGCAAAAAAGCCAAATTAAGGTAATTTAAAATGCATCTTAGTTTCTAAACTTAAAATATATTTTTAAATCAAACCTTTAAGATGGTAAAATAAAGCCTTAAAAAAAGTGATTTCTCTGAAAATCAGTATCTGCTATGCTTTAAATGATTGTTAACAGTGAACAAGATACCTCAGTAATAGGTCCTTCTCTAGTGCCTCGGAGGAGACCCATTTCATCAGGAGTCAGCTGGAACTTGGATAAGAAGGCATCTGCGACTTGTGCTCTTATTTCTAATCTTTGACTATAATTTTAAAAAAGCAATAAAAAGCCAAGCATGTGTGAGTTTGCATCGCCTAAAACAAGTTATATCTCTGACATAATAATTTCTTAAAACAAGTGTGAAAGATTCTTAACATCTTTGAAAGCCTCATTTCTGCCTCAAACATTAGAAGCTCATCAGGCATGTAGTTAATAAAATTAGCTGAACTTGTTCTACCTCAGATACCTGCAGACAGTAAAAGGAGTTAATCATTATGCAAAAGAAGAAATAAATTCACAAATGGTCCCTGCACAACAAATTCTCAGCCACTTACATGTACTTGAATTGTTCATCTTGTAGTAACAAGGTTATCTTACAGGAGAGAAATATGCCCATCTTCAACTAATTTCTTCTTTGTAAAAAATACTAAGCTTCTGAAGTTTTCACATGAAGTACACAGCAACCAAAAATCAGGTCTATTATTTTTTAACTTCAGGTTAGAAACGGAAGTCAAGAACTCATTTACCAATTCTTCATAAATCCATAAAAGCACTTCACTTTTGTCTTCCCCACTTTTTCTGCATGATACGGTAATAAAAAAGCCTTTTAAATTACATTATCTGGATGCAACCTCTCTAGACTAGGTTGACAATTAAGAAAAGGCATGCTTGGGCACCTGGGTGGCTCAGTTGGTTAAGCAGCTGCCTTCGGCTCAGGTCATGATCCCGGAGTCCTGGGATCGAGCCCCGCATCAGGCTCCCTGCTCAGCGGGGAATCTGCTTCTCCCTCTGACCCTACCCTCTCTTGTGCTCTCTCTCTTACTCTCTCTCTCAAATAAATAAAGTAAAATCTTAAAAAAAAAAAAAAAAAGGCATGCTCTCCTCTGGAATGTGGTCTGCAAGGACCTGAAGGACTGAGTCTACTCACCATCTAAAAGCAAGTTAGGAGTGCAAACTACCTGAATGAATTTCAACATTCCTGGCTTCTCTATCTTAGATTTAAAGATATATAAATAAAATTGGGTTTCACTAGCAGTATTCACAAGGCAGTAATATTCCACAATTTAATAATATTCAAATGAGAGTGAACAAAATAAACATGAACATTTTATGTATAGAGAGTACAATGCATCTGCCGTGTTTGTTTTGTTAGTATGGTGGGGTTGTGAGGTTTTAAATTCAGTCAAATGCTCTGAGGTAGTATAGCAAGTTAGACAGTAAAAGTCCTCTAGGGGGCAGTAACATTCTATTTATCTCAAATAATAATGTAAATCACCCAGTGAAATCTACATTAGATAAATGGCATATGTCCTTAATCATCTTATTATGGATATCAAAAAGTTACCTTAATAGGTTTTGTTTTATACTCTTAAAGTTCCAATCATTATCATACAGGATTTAAAGTAATTATAAGAATTCATAAAATTCCTTGAGATTATACAGATCAATCATTTTGACTAAAACCTTTTTGATGCTTCTTTTGGATCTACCTTTAGAGTCAATTTATTAGGCACAAAGGAAATAAATTTCTTTAGTTTATAATTTACTTTTGTTCTAATTAAAGCTAGTATTACCTATCTTGATATTACTTCTTAATCATTAAATTTCATTCCAAATAATCTTATTGACTATTCTTAAAAAAAAAAAAAAAAATCCATGAAGTAAAGACTTTGAACGAGAGGCTCTATATCTACAAAAGATTTGGTCCAAAAATATGTTGAACAATGGCCATACTGCTAAAACAAGGGTTTGGTATCTCAAGATGAGAACTTTTTTTAAAGTAGTGATGAAATAAATTCTAATATATTTTTTAAATCATATTACTCTTTAGTTACCATATATATTCTTCCCAGGTAAAACTGCACAACCATTCTGATAGAAAGTTACTATTAAATAGTCCATGGGAGCATCTGTGCAACCCAATAACATTAAGGGGGACCTACGATGTGTAAGAGCCCTAAGTCAGGGTCTGGTGTAACAAAAGATACATATGAAACAGACTTCATCATCACCTTACATCACAGGTGAAATATGGTATCTTTGGGAGAGCTTTTAATATCTAAATAAAATCATATGAAATAAATGTTCATATAAAACATAAATGGCTATTATAAATTACAACTTCTTTGAGATGTGTTCATGTAATCACTGCATATTATGTTATATAATATATAAATACAGCAAATACATACTGTGAAATAATATGCAGCAGATAAATATAATGTAGATTTGTATGTATTAACATAAAGTGATCTATAAAGCATTTTATAGGTGCAAAAAGCAAATCTCCAAAAAATATGTAGAGCAACACATTTTTTTAAAATACATATAATACACCCAATAAATGAATTTTCAGTACATGTATTCATGTATTACCTAAGTATTTAAAATAAACTAATTAATCCTTCTAATGATTCTTTCAAGCATTCCCAGAACATGATTTATTAATCTTACGGTGCTTCTTTTTTCTTCCTAAAAATAGGCCTTATTTTAACTCTACCTTTTAGACTCACCCCTACCAAATAATTTCAAAATAATAAGAAAAAGACTTTAAAAACAGGCAAAATATATAAAACAAAAAAGATTAAGAAATATAAATGGCATGACAAAATGAAAAAATACTGATTCATCAATATTCAATAAAATGTAAATTAGAATTATGATGCTATTGTTCATCTATAAAATTGGCAGTTTTTAATGACAATACCTACTACTGACAAAGGAGACATTCTCATATACTGCTGATAGCAGTGTAAATTTGTATAACCTTTTTAGAGAGGAATTTATGCAATATACATCAAAAGTCAGGATATTTTAAAAAAAGTTTCTACCATTTGGGGTACCTGGGTGGCTCAGTGGATTAAAAGCATCTAACTCTTGATTTCTGCTCAGGTCATGTTCTTGGGGTCCTGGGATTGGGCCCCACATGATCAGGCTCCAAGTTCAGCAGAGAGTCCACTTGGGATTCTCTATCTCCCTCTCCCTCTGCCCCTCCCCTCTGCATGCTCATGAGCACTCTCTCTCTCTCAAATACATAAATCTTTAAAAAAAAATTAAAATAAAAGTTTCTACCATTTGATTCATTAATTACAATTCTAAGAGTATTTCCTAATGAAATAATTTGAAATGCACATAATGACTTAAAAACATCTGTCAAGCCATTATATTTAGTAATGGAAATAATATTAATATTCAATAATTTAAGAATGTTTAACATACATGTTGGTTCATTCACAAGATGAAATATTATCATTAAAATACATGTTTTTTCTAAATAAAAGACACAGAAAAATGAACATAAAATATTAGGTGAACAAAGTAAAATGGAACTACATACATATACTCATGCTGGGAAGAAATATGCCAAAATGTTAATAGTGGCTATGTCTGTGTAGTGAAGGTATATCTGATTTTCATTTTCTTTCTCTAAATTTTATATATATAAACGAGAGGAAGAAAAGAGGTCTATACTCTCTTGCCTGAACACAGGTGCTTCTGCAATATATTTTATATGTAAGTTTGTGCAAAATAAACAGTTTTATATTTTTTTACAAACTTCAAAGCCTGAATTAGTTCATAACAAATAATAGAATTAAAATAAAATTAGAACTATTAAAAAATAAAATAGTAAGAAAGGATGAGAAAGTAAATAACAGCTGAGGAAAGCTATTCTAATTAAATTAGGCACAAAATAGCCTAAACTTCTAGCCACCAAAGCCAATGTAGAAACAAGATGTGCTGATAGGTTTAATGGAAGGGTAATGTTCCTTGACGGATGTCAGGCAGTGTGTTCAGCACCTAGGCATATCATCCAATCATCACAACAACACTGGAACACAGATGCTAGTCCCTTTTTTCAGATGTGAAAACTGAGGCTGAAGGTTAAGAAGTAACTTCTACAAAACTAAAAATCTAATAAACTCTTACTCAAGATTTAGATTAGAATTCAGGGTTTTATCTTCAAAGCTTACCTTCTTTCCACTTTAACAAACTATACCTCAAAAAGAAACAAACATTCACCACAGACTATTTTTCTGAGTCCTGAAAGAAATCTGGTTGCTGGGCCTTCGCAAGAGACAAGAAAACCTATAATAAATAGTGACTTCAATAGTATTAAAAAATATAGAAGTATATTTATGTGGATATCATTTCCTGATAATCACTGAAATCCACCCTCTATCAATTAAATAGCATAAAGAAATATTAGCTGCAGTTCTGTGAAGACAATGGAACTTTGCCTATTAGAACATCAGCTGTCACGATAACTGACCTTCTAACCCAGCTGGGAAAATAGTCATATCCTTTATATATGTCTCAGTAAGAATGTCATGTTATCCAAAGAAGCCCACAGAATTTCTATTTCTAAAGCTAATCGCTTGTTTAACAAGATTTCTTGCTAAAAAGAAAAGGTAATATTTAAAAATGGAGAAACAACTCCTGGCCAGCTCCCAGGAATCTGTTATAATTTCTACTATGTAATTTTCCTAAAATACTTTCCGCAAATGTTCAGTTGGCACATCATTATCTACAGCTCTTTGGATACTAAAATGTCAGAAATTTTCACTCCCAAAAGCATACCAGGCCAAAACGTTTTCATCAGCTTACTAAAATTATAAACATGAACAACCCTGCCTAGTTTTGAAAATATACAGATAGAAACACAATATTCTAATGTTGCCTCCTCTAGACATTAATTAGGGTCCCATATATGGTATAAGCTCCAATACAATGCTTCTTTTTCAGTTTTTATTTTATGTTCCTTTCCTGACATTAGATTAGTTGCATTCCATATTCATTTACTCAAAAATTATTTATTGAATCTACAATATATTAGGTACTGGAGACACAAAAAGCGGGTAAGAAATTGTCATTGTTCTCAACAAGCTCACAGTTTAGTAGGAAAAGAGACAATCAAACCAACAACTAATTATAAAAGACTGTAATACACAGTAAAATACATGAATCCATATTCTACTCACCTTCATTTACCCATTTATTCAGTGAACAAATTATTAACATACCTATCTGTAAACTACCACAAGAAAAATTTACACAGTGAACTCTTAATTATATCAGAGAGGATTAATCATAGCTAAAAAAATAAGAGACAATGAGTGTGGAAAAAAATAAAATTACTAAAACTCTAAAATAATCTACATTTTAAAAAGCAATCTTTTTTAATTCCACAGCAAACAATACACAACATTGTCAACTACAAGAATGAATAATCCCTCATCCCCAGTATCAAGTTTGATACTCCTAAATTATCGTTTCATGTTTATTTCCTCTGGGATAAGAGCTTAGAATCTTATATGCTATATGAATTTTGAATCATCTTTTTTATTATTTTAACTCTGATTTGGAATTACCTATAATTTTCTTTCCACTTAATCTCCAAATTAATGAAGAGATAACTAAACGAAGTAAAACTTACCTTTCAGCTTGAAGCTTAGTGGTTTTTACTATTAAATCTTGGGTCTGTTCCTTTGCTGCCTAAAATTATAAACATATCTAACATCAGTACATTTCAATATTTTTATACTTCAGAAAACTAATAAGCTATGAGAGAATCTTTTGCAAGTGATGAAAATGTACATCTTCATTACGGTAGCTGTTTCATGGGTATAGAATTGTCAAAATGCACTGATTTGTACACACCAAATGGATGCAGTTTATTACTGTACATCAATTTTTCCTCAATAAAATTGATATAGAAAAAGAAAGAAGGGCTCACGCCATTATAGAAAAAATTGGATTGGTGGGTGCAAAGAAAATACAGAGGACAAAACCAAAGAGGATGTTTTGTGGTTTAAAATACTTACAATCTGTTTTGAAAATAGCATGAAGAATAAAAATACTTTGATCTTTTCATATCTACAAATAGCTATGATAAAAGGATAAAAATACAATTAAAGATAAAAATTAGAAAACAAGAGATTCTGCCCCCTAAAACAGGAACTTAAGTAATCCCATAATACCAAATATAAAAATAATAGTACAAAAGAAACGCAAGCGTATATAATACAAAAAACCTTAGAGTGTAATCTGAGAAAAGGCATTAAATCATGGAAGCCAGAAGATGAGAAAAGGAAATAAAGAAAAAGTTAGAGAAACAGAATAGTCAAATAAAATTACTAAGCAACAAAAGTAATATTGCAAAAATGTAAAATTACAATAATCAGCAAAGATTTTATGACTATTTAAGTACTATGTAATTCATAAGGACCTAAGGTTGAACAATAGATATGCCAGTACTGAATGTGGTTAAGACTAGGGAAGCTACAATTTTAGAGAAACGGGAAACTGGTTCTAGAGATAGATCATGCAAGTAGCTTAGGATTGATTTGTGGAATATGCATAGATTAATGATTCTTCCTAGAATCACTGTAGCTGTCAATAGTTCCAAGAGAATCTTAAAGGTATAAGCTTGAAATAAAAATGTGAAGGTAGTAAACATAATCATGACTGACTCTTAAGAGGAAGCCTATTCTATTCACTATTCCAAAATTATATAAATGGGGGTAATTAGGTTAAATCTTAACTCTGTAATCAAACTAGAAGTTTCAAACTACTTTAATAAACATATGTAGAATTCTAGATATTTTCCTGAGGTTGTTTTGTTTTTTTTTTTGTGGGGAGGCTGAGCACAAAACATAACTAAGCTGGGTCTTTGTTAGGCATAGCTTTAGTCTGGACTTAGTCCTAAGACTTTCTACTAAGGCACTAATTCCTGCTAGATTTATGGGATATTACAGGATTGAGAGGTTTATCAAAATTCTACACAGTTAGCTCTACACTGACTAGATCAAAATATAAAGGCATCTGGAGTTAACTTAACACTATCAGTAAACCATCACCCAAAATACCCATTTATAGTTAAAAAAAAGCATAATATTTATATTTGAATTTCCTATAGGACATGATATATTAGCTATCCATACATCTTGGAAATCTAGCTAACAATTTTTGAAAGCTTACTTTGAGCCAGGAACTACACTAAAATCCAGCCATTACACAGTACCTGTAGGCGACTTGTCATATCTTGACAACAATTGCTCATTGCTTGAACATCTTCATTTATGCTTTCAAGTTCCTGAAAAGGAAAAAAAGTAACAGCAAGCATTACATATATTGTTAAAGAAATTCTCTTCTCTTAGCCAAATCCTTATTTTCATCTCATGAATTTTTTTTTTTGCCCAAGCATGACAAAAGATCCCATATTTAAGACTGGAAAAATTAAAAAGAGTAACATCTAGTGTTAGAAAAGATATAAAGAAATTAGTAAATGCTTTTTAAAGAGGGTGACAATAGGAAATGGCAAAATGCTTTAAGAATATCAATACCTCTTCATTCAGGTATACTAACACTAAGATTTATCCTAAGGAATCAATCAGATAAGTGTGCAACAATATATGTAAGAAGATCAACACAAAGTTGCCTAAAACCACAGGAAAATGTTTATATAATATATATAGGCATAGAAAGATGTCTATATAAGATTTTTAAAAAGTATTATGAAACAATACATATCATACCTCACATTTTAAAAAAAGTACATATATATATACACACACATACAGAAGAACACAAGAAAAGCAAGGCAATAAAATGCTGACAAAAGTTATTTCTGGGTGATAGGATTATAAGAAATTGCTCTGGCTTCTGATCTTATCTAACTTTTCTATAGTGAATTATTTGTAACTTTTAATTAATAAAAACAAGGAAATACGAAAACCCAATAAACTAAAAACCGTGCCTCCTCTACCTTGCGCAAAGTCATCACACAGTAGATCACGCCACAAAGTTGGCAATCTTCTCAGTAACATTCTCTCCCTGTGTACTTCCTCCTCTAGCCCCCTCCAGGTACATGGGAATGTAACTGGTCATTAAGTCCTATCATTTATACCCTTACTGCATGTATCTTATCCATTTCTTTTTTTCTACTCTAACAACTACTACTTTAGTTCAGGTCAACTGGTATCTCTTATGTGAACTGATAAAAAAAAAAAGTTTTCCAACAGGTCTCCCAGGCTCTACACTTTTTACGAAACCATCCTCTCCAGTCCTTATTGAATCAATGAAAAATATTATATGAAAAAATGATATCACAAAATTATATTTAGCTTTATACTGCACTACTATCTTCTTTTTCCCAATTCAATTTGGTGTCACACAACAGAAAGATACACAAGGAAGTTTCAGTGGTAGACAGTGGACAATCCCTTTCAACAGAATACCCGGACCTTCAAATAGAAACATGACCGGCTTATGAAGGGATGAGCCAATCAGAGGGCAAGAGATAAGAAAGCTGCCCAGTGAGGCTATAAACAAGGTATGAGGATAAACCAGTTAGAAAATCACTTATCAGAATATGAGCATAAATCTAAGTTCTAGAAGTAAGATTTTTCTCCCTTCTTTCTATGAAGTACTTTGAATTATAAATATCATAGCACCAGTATTTTCAAATGTTACTCACAATACTTAACAACAAATAGCATATAAATCAAGTCATTAAATGAAGTCCTAAATTGCTTTGAGGTGAACAGTAAAAAAAAAAAAGCATGATTTCAAAATATCAATTAATATTAGCAATAGCAGAAACCTAAGTAAACTAATCTCACTATTCTCTTAAATCCCACTGTGTAATCTAATACGAATAGCACTATGACATTATCAGCCAGCTAGGTCAAGAAAAACTACTCCTAATATTTACTTTAGCCACAATAATATACCAAATGGACCTGATTTGTCAGGTCCATATATATGGAATAATATAAATTACATCTCTGAATATCTGACTTCAATGCAGAGTTTTGATGACTGTAATTCAATGGCCTGTATATTACTTATAAAGTCTTTATTTGAACTTAGGGCAAACTGTCTTCCCCTGCCCCCCAATTAAATAAAATTATAGGCTGGGAAATACAACTGGTGTATGATAAACTTTTTAAAAACTTTTTATTGTGGAAAATTTTCAAAAATATCCAAAAGTTGAGATAATATGAATGCCAATATACATATCACCCGGCTTCGACCACTCTTGTTTCATCTATTTCTCTACCCACTTTCTACTTCTCCCCCATTCCTTTCTCCCTCCCTCACAAACTGAATTATTTTATGTTCATGATACTTTATCATTTCATTCATAAACATCAGTATATGCTTCTAAGAAGATTCAAAAAACATAATGCCATTTTCACATCTAAATATTTAACAGTAATCTCTTAATATCAAATATCTAGTCAGTGTTCCAATCTCCCCAGCTGTCCCAATTTTTAAATAATTACTGCAAGTCAGGAACCAACTAAGATTCACAAATAGCAACTCGTTGCTATTTCTCATTTCTTTTTTTAATCTATATAGTCTCACTTCCCCCTACTTCTCTTTTTCTTTTTCTTACAATTTATTTATTGAAAAAACCAGCTCATTTGTCTCTACAGTTCCCTACATTCTATATTCGCTGACTGCATATTTGTGGTGTTAACATATTTCTCTGACCCCAGTATTTCCTATAAACAGGCAGTTAGATCTAGAAGCTTGATTATATTCTGGTTCAATTTTCTGGCAAGAACTTTTCATAGGTGGTGGTGTTTACCCTTATTAGGAGTGACAGATATGAGGTTAGCAGCTTTTTGTGAGGTTAGCTGCTAGTGATGACCAATAGCTAGACCAGTGGTGCTCAACCAGGGCAATTTGGTCCCCCGATGGGGCATTTGGCAGTGTTTGTAGACATTCTCGGGTGAACAACTGAAGAAGAAGTGGTACTACTGACATTTAGTGGATAGAAGCCCTGGATGCTGTTCAACATCCTAAACAGCAGAGGATAGTCCCCACTTGTCTGACCCAAAATGTAAAATAGTGCCAAGTTGAGAAACCTTGAAGTAGATCCATAAATTTAACAGTGGTGGCAAAATCTTCTCATCTTCTATCATTCCTTCTTCATTTATTAGAATAAAGCTATAAAGAGAAGCCTCCCCTCAACAACTGTATCTAAATGGAACAAAAGACAGGATAAATGCTTGACTCTTTCCTTTTATTTAGCAGTTTTTAAAATAAGTTAGTTCCCTTATATCCACGAAATATAACCAACGAGGGTTCTGTTCGGTTTTTAGATCAGTATGAATTTGTGAGTTTAAACATGTTTGATATGTTCTAGTCCACTGAGTTATTCTTATTGATGCTCTAATCATCCTATCTCTGGACAAGAGAAGCCTCATCTAGTTAGCTCTGAAGTTCTTCTGTCACTTTCCCAAAGGTCTCATATAGCTTCCCTGCTTTCTGATATTTGTAAGATTGTTCCTTTCAGTGGGAGACGGTATTTAGGACCACAATCTGGATGTGCTCATGGATACCTTTTCTATTCTTATGAACACTACCAAACTGTCCTTCCAACCTTCCAGATTTTTAGCCTCAGTCAATGAAATCTTTCTAAACTATTAAACATCATCTGTTTATTAATTAGTCATTGAAACTATATATAACACTTTCATACAACTCATACAGAATATGTGATATTAATAAAATTAACAAAATATTGCATAAGTAAAATATAATAACATAATAAACAAAATTCATTTTTACCCTACAGTGAGCTGTCTGCTCACTCAAGTATGATAAATTACTACTTATGGCAGAAGTAACTGATCTTAATTAATCTGCAAATTTCCTAATTTATGATACACTAAAGTAACTCAATCCTAATTAATCTTCAATGGAGAAGTGATTATCCAAAAGAGGTTTATTCAGTGAGGAAAAATTTCCACTGGAAAATCATTTAAAAAAATGTTTTTTCTTGTTTTTGTTTTTAGAAAAGCAAAAATTTCTAAGAGAATATCCTAGAACAAATGTTACAACTTTCTAAGAAGCAGCATTAGTGGAGGTCACAGTTTCGGATATCACACTAATTGAAGGACCTGGATGCTTCTGGAGTAAGTAGTTTTCTATTTGAACATGGTATGTGAACAGCAAACATATCAACCCAATTCATAAAAATACTTAGCACAGAGTCAGGCATACAGTAAGTTCTCAATAAATGTTAAATGAAAAGAATTTACATACTTCCTTCACCTCCTTGAAAATGCTGACAAATTCTTCATTGATGGCTAAACTTCTGCGTTCAATATCTCCACGTAAATTTCTTCGAGTCCGCAAACTGTTTTCAACAAAAAAGGCTGAAAGTGCCTTGAGAGCTTCCAACATCTCCTACACAATTGATAATAGAAGACAATTACTGGGGCCAATTCTCAAATGTTTTCCTAATCTCAAGTCAAATTTTAATGAAATTATTTTCAAATGTTTCCATTAAATAAGCAAAAAATACCAGGTGATCTTCACATTACTGAACAGTAAACTTATTTCCAAAACACAATTAAGGATCTACTTACTTTTATATTGCAGCATGTATACAAGACTATTCACTGAAAAATAGTTTGGAATTTTAAAGACTGCAAATACTCTTAATGTCCATCTAAAGTGAATTGGTTAAAGAAATTATGATATATCCATTTTAACAAAGATGAAAATTCTTTATGTACGTATATAATACAAACTTCAAGATACAGTAAGTGAAATAGCAAGGTATAGAAACAGTTGTAATACCAACTGTTAAAAAAAGAAAAAGGACTGTATACATGCATACTTCCTGGTGAATGTGTAAACTATCTCTAGAAGGATATATATAAGAAAGAAGTACCACCTGTAGCCTCCAGGCTAGGAACTGAGTAACTGGGAGCAGAACTGAGAGGAAGGCCTCTCTGGGGTGACTTTTGAACTGAGGCCTAAGTAATAGGAAAGGCATCCATGGGGACAAAGCGGTTCACAGGCAGAAAAAGCTGTGAGTACAATGACCCTAAAGCAGCAGAAAGGCCAGTATGAATGAGGCTATGGGACACTACTAGAGGCTTTAGAGAAAGGAGTAATGTGTTTTATATGTTTAAAAGTTTATTCCAATTTTGTGAGGATAGCCGATCGGGGGGGAAGGCAAGAAAGGAAGCAAGTAGGAAGAAACTAAAATAACCCAAGCAAAGATTTGATAGTGTCTTATTTAGAACAAGAAAGTAGCATTGCAGGTGAAAAGAAGGAGATATTCCAAAACAATTTTTTTCAAGGTAGAGCCAATAGGATTTGTTAATGGACTGAATGTAAGAAGTGAAAGAAATGACAGGAATCAAAAATTATTTATACACTTTTTGCTTGTCTGGGTAAGTGATGTTCTTTACTAACAGCAGAAAGGAGAAGCAGTTTGGAGAAAAACCAAGAGTCTGGCTATGTTAAGTTTTTATGAGGTTGATCAGGTAACTAATTAGAAGTGTCATGTGAGCAACAGACTATACAAATCTGGAGCTCAGTAGAGATGTCAAGAACAGGGTTATAAATTTGAGAATCATCACCCTTTTTGTTATTTAAAACCATGAAAGTGAGAGTTCTCCTACAGAGAGAATACACATAGAGGAGAGAAGGGAGAAGACCAAGCCAGAATATCTAACTCCAAATATAAATTCCTACACCTGAACTAACATATATTGTAATGGGCTTACCCCTCTATGTTTCAGTTACAACGCTATTTTGCAATATTGGCTGGATTGACAAAAATAGTAAAGCTATTTAAATTCAATTTAATATTTAAGAAAGCACTACAAAGATTTATGTACAAAAAAAAGAAAAACCACAAAATGAAACCATTTCTTTTGACTATAACCTTGAAATGACCTAGGCCTGGCTCAAAGAAGTAGTCCGTAGTTGATGAATGAACAAAATCACATAGACAGGTGCAAATTACAGCTCCACCAGTTATTGGTTACATGATTTAACCTTGTTACACTCTTTCAATACCTTATTTTTCTCTTAAGTAAAAAGGAGATAATGTTATCTACATCACAGCAGCTGTATTAAATGAGATAATAGGCGTCAGTATTAGACACATTAAACAATAAGCTGTATGATAAAATTAACATTTAATAAGAAATGGTAAGTGCTGGGCACTCTGCTGAGCACTTCAGATTCTCTTGTCAATTGAATCCTCCCAACAACCCTGAGAAAGTTACCAGCAGTATTCTCAACTTAGAAATGATGAAAAATAAGCTTAGAGAAATTAAGGGGCTTAACTCAAATCATAATGCTTCAGTTTGATGGTTATATCTAATAAATAGATGGCCCCAGAGACCGTCTTACTATATTATTTTTTTACACACAAATTCTTATTGACAGCTTATTTTCGGTTACCTACAAATTTATAAAGTTCTCTCACTCCTACGTATATTTTTTCTTTATGGCATGACCAATTTACCGATGATACAGAAGAGACAACCAGCTACGACAGAAGCTGGATGGATGAGTTTCAGGAGGTACTTGGGAGAGGATGTGGACGGTTTATCTTGTAAAGAAACACAGCATGAGCCCACATATCATAGGCGGAGCTTAGCTAACAACAACAAAAACTAGTAGTACATAGTATTTCATCTGAGCCCTGAGCAAGTAGTTCTTCCGCGCTGCAAATTATTTCAGTCGTTCTCAGCAGTCAGTGGAAATGCTCAATTATGGCTACCCCGGTTCTCCGGTTCCTCCTCACCCCGACTGACGTTGCCTAGTCTTGTAATTTACTCTTGCATGGGTTTCTAACCCTGCCCTGGGCTCTCCTCTCCCCGTTCGGACCCCGGAACACCTCCCGGATAGGAGACTCCACTGTTTGCCTCCCGGAGCGAGAGCCTTCCAGGAACAGGTTTTTCATATAGGGGGTGACACCCAAGGCACCTCTTCGCTTTTCCAGGGACTCCTCGGCCTCCCCCTTCTTACCGGTCCCACGTCGGATCCCGCGGGTCTGCGGTCCCCTCCACGGAGGGACGAAGGGATGAGGGAGTGGGTGCCGAACAGACGCCGCCCCCCGCCAGCCTCAGGTCGGCGGGCGACGCGGGACCTCCGGCCCCGCCAGCTCTGGTTACCTTGTCGTTGTCCAGCCGCGTCTCGAGGATCTTATTCAGCTTCCGCGACAGCGGGTTGCTGGTCTGCGCCGGGACCCCGCCTGCCCCACTGCTGAGGCCGTTGGCAGCCCCGGACGCGGATACTGCCACTACGTCCCCGCCGCCCTCGGCCATAGTGTCGCAGGCCCCACCCCCAGCCCCGTGGCGGCCACCTCAGCCTTAGGCTGGGACGCACGCCAGCTGCGCGAGTACTGCGCATGTGCGCGGTGTGCCGCGCATGCGTCCCGGGTCGCGGAAGGCTCTGGCCGCACTGCCCAGCTCAGCCGGCTTGCTGGAAGGGCGGGGCGGTTAGAGAAGTTAGGGGTAAGCGGGTGGATCCTTAGGGTGGGAAGGGGAGACTAGTGGGAGGTTTCGCAAAATGGCCTGAAATTTAAATTATATTTAAAGTTTGGGTATTAAGATTTATGGGATTAAAAGGATTTCAGAATCCTGAATCTCATTATAAGAGTCTAAGCTAAGCATGAGTAACATACACTGACACCTGTTCCTGGCATATAGATTCAGTAAAAGTTAGTTCTACAGTAATTAAATCCACTTTACCTGAATTCTTTTGTTTTTTAAGTATTTATTGAAGCATATTACATGCTGGGTACTCAGGTAGGTATTGGGGGATCTACATTATATGTCTGAGAAAAAGGAGTTAAATGTTAACAAGATTGTGATGAGCGCTCAGAAGGTGCTGAAATGCAGTGAAAGAGTATAGTGGAGGGAGGGTCCTACTTTACCCAGGAAGGTCTGGTAAGGAGTTGACATTTAACCTGAGATTTGAAGGAAAATCTGAAACATAGGGTGAAATCATTCCCAGGTAGGAGAAAGTGTAAATGCAAAGGTCCAAAGACAAGAAGAAACTTGGGTGTTCCACGAATTGGCCAAAGCCAGTGTAGTTGTAGAGTAACAGATGAGGAAGTGAGTAAGAAGATGAAAAATAAATTCTCAGGAGGGTCTAGATAACAAATATCGTTATTTTTAAATTTCTTTTCTCACTTTTTAAAATTTGGATCAGAGTAAAATATCTGAACTTCTTGTTGAGTATTTTTCTGAAACACTAACCATTTAGCTTTGGTCCTTAATCTGCCTTATGCCATATGTGTATGTATAGATAGACACATATACATATATGTGTGTGTATATTACATATATATACCTGACAAAATCACTTATCCCAATTCTGGCAAGTAAAGAAGAAATGGCTCAATTAGCAAAAAGAAAAGACCCTAAAGGCCCTGTGAATTCAATAAATGTTGAATAAAATTTTAAAGTGCTACTGAGGGAAAATAAAGAAGAGGGAGGGAGCAAGAGAAAGAGAAACTGGAGCAATCAGTGTCCATCAGTAAAGTACTGAATAAATAAATTATGGTCTGTTCACTCAGTACTATGCTATGCAATTTATCTGCTGTGAAAGAAATTTAAATGCTAATGTGGAAATAATTCCAAAATATAATATGTGAAAAAAGCAAGGTGCATTATAGTGCATATAGTGCATATGATCCCTTGTAGATACATGTAAATTTAAGCTTTTTCGTTTTTTTCGGGATGGCATTCCTGTGAAAGGGAGGCTTTCACTTTTTATTTTGTACCTTTCCAAATGGATTGAAAATTTCTAATCTTACCCATGTGCTACTGAATATATTAACAGAGATTATTAAGGTAGGGTAATATGGCCTAATTTTCTTTGCTCACTTGTACTTCTCTGAATTTGCAATTGTAAAAAAAAGAAAGAAAATCATTTGAAAATTAGAATAATATATGGTAGTATGAGGATGGAAATTATTGTACAATTTAAACATTTAAAGCCATTTGTATGTTTTTTAATGTTTACTTAATTATCATATGTTCTATAAGGCTAACTATAAATTGTAAGTTAAGTGCTTAAAATCAATATTTTTCAAAAGTTAGAGTAAATATTTGGGTGAGCCTCATCAGAAACCTGTTATATATGTATATATATAAAATTAAACATAAAGGTTTTCTTTTCATGAAAATGTGAAAGATAAGTTCATATATTGAGCTCTTTAATATACTAGAGCACTAAAAGAATGAAAAGACAGGCTCTGATTTAAATATTTTAATTTCATGGGAAAAAAATACATGCATGTTGAAGAGTGAAGGAGTCTCATGTCCCTACAGAGGAACCATGCTGTAGAGTAAAACATGGAGATTCTTACCTTCCAAGTCATGGTTGAAAGGAGGGCCTCCCCAAAATCCCCCTCTTCTCCTTTGGATGGTGATTTAAGCTTTCTTGCTGTTTGGCTTCTGAAATAAGTGGAAGTCACATAAAAGTGGTCACTGTGGCTTCAGCAAAATATATGATTTATTAAGCCACGTCTGGTGAGTGGTAGAATTTTCAACCCTCTCTACTTTTCACTGCATTAATAGCAACAGCTCCTATTCCTTAGCATTCAAATGTATTGATAATCAGGGTCAATGCTAGATCTTTTTAATATGCTGTTCTTATCTTGATAACTACCCTGCAGCATAAGGATCATTACCATGTTATCATGTAACTAGTACTCTGTTATTGATGAGTAATCCAAGACTAAGAAAATCTTTCTAAGGATATATGGCTAACCTTAGATCACACAGCTAGTTCTAGCTAAATTGGCAGTTAGTTATCAAATTCTATTACGGCTTCCTCGGTTTTGGTTTTGAGTTGTGTACATTTCCCACTTGGAATGTAGGCAAAAACTTTTGTAGCTAAACTCAAATGTGTTCTATGCTGGTATTGGCTTGACACTGTTCTTAATGCCTTCACACTGACACCAGAATTATTTTTCTAAAACAGATTTGGTCCTATCACTTTTTGCTTTAAAAACCATGCTGGTAATTACTGAAGAAAAGAACTGTTTAGTATGGTACACACAGGCCTTCAGAATCAGATCTTATATTATCACTCTAGTCTTATTTCTAGCCATTTGCTTGTTATTGCCACACTCCAGCCACCTGGGTTTTCTGGGCAACAAACACATCACAAACTATTCAGTCTCCATACTTTGGCTCATACAACCCATTCTTCTGGGAATATCTGCTCCTGTGAAACTAGTAAAATCCTGTTTGTCCTTCCAGCTCCGCTCAAATAAATTCTTCTGTTGTACCTGCACAAAGCTCCCCACTTCTCCTTGGGCAGAATTAGTTCATTCCTTAAGCAGATTCCATAGAACTTAATATACAACACCTATTATAACTTGTTATATGATTATTTTTTAAATTGATTTATGTATGTGTTGTTTTCCCACTAGACTCTCAGTACCTGGATGATGGGGACTATGTCACTCATTTTTACTTTGCTAGTTTTTGCCACGAAGCCTTGCACTTACTAGCTTGCTTACTAAAGGCTTACTGAATGAAAAGCATTCAAATGAAGTTTAATGGTTTTATAAGTTAGAGCTCTTAATGGCAATTAATAGGAGCTGACTGTGGATGACTTAAAGAGGAATTCATTTCACAAAAGATATTGGATAAGTCTCAGAATTGATAGGAAGGATGAAGAACCACGCTTGGAAAAGAGGCAGAAACAAAAGGAGATGGGGCACTTGTAACAATTGCCAAAATCATTCTGCACAGCAGCTCATCATGGACCCCGGTGTCATTACTGCCGAAGGCTGGGATCCACATGTCACTGCACCCATACTCCTGACCCCACACGTAGGATCCCTCCATGGCACAACTGCCCATGCCGTCTCTGGAGACCATGTTGCCTAAAACTTTACCGATCCTAAAGAATTCTCCACTGTTTCTGCTTTTTATGCAGCTTTCTCTTGTTTCAAAGTCTAGGACAAGTGCTTCTCATTGGCAGAGCTTAGGTAACAGATTTGTGCCCATTGTCAGGGGAGCTGAGAAAGTGGACTATTCCTCAAAAATAGAAAGAATATTCATATACTGTGTAACCCCCTCTCCCACACATACACACCCACATATATGGCATCCCTTCAGGTGGATAATATTAACATGCATTCTTCTTCCCATACTCATCCTTAAAAAATATTTTTGCCTAATTTAATGCAATTGATTTACCACCTAACCAAAACCTCACTTAGTTTATCTCCTAAGGAACAACATAAAATTGAATCTTTTTCTATTTAGCTCAAAGTCAAATTTCTCTCTGGCTTTGTTAGAGTCTTTCCCCAATATCATGTAACTTATGGATTAAACTGTAAAGTAACTACTGAAGACCCATCTTTTAAAAAATGTTATTCAAGGGCGCCTGGGTGCCTCAGTTGGTTAAGCGACTGCCTTCGGCTCAGGTCATGATCCTGGAGTCCCAGCCTGGAGTCCCGCATCGGGCTTCCTGCTCAGCAGGGAGTCTGCTTCTCCCTCTGACCCTCTTCCCTCTCGTGCTTTCTATCTCTCATTCTCTCTCTCTCTCAAATAAATAAATAAAATCTTTAAAAAAATGTTATTCAAAAAAAAAGACATAATAGAAAATAGGGTCAAATGTCAGTTTTTACTTCTGCAACTGTCATAAAGATTTTACTGGAATATATGATTTCTATTCTTTCCATGATCCTTTGTCTTCAGTCAATACATCCCCTAACCAAAGTTCTTTATCCACTGAGGTGACCCAAAGTGCCATACTGAAAGAAGAAGGGCATCTGATGGAAACGGCTGTATTAAGTGACTGTACTTTCCTTTTTTTTTTTTTAAAGATTTTATTTATGTATTTGACACAGAGAGAGACAGCAAGAGAGGGAACACAAGTAGGGGGAGTGGGAGAGGGAGAAGCAGGCTTCCCGCCGAGCAGGGAGCCTGATGCGGGGCTTGATCCCAGGACCCCGAGATCATGACCTGAGGTGAAGGGAGCCGCCCAACCAACTGAGCCACCCAGGCGCCCCTGTACTTTCCTTTTAATTTTGCCCCGGGACATGGAAGTCCTAGGAAGTACTCAGGGAATTCTTTAGATTCTGTCCTTACTTCTTTTAGCTATACTATATAGCAAAACCCAACTTACCCTGTATGGTCAGGATCGGTTACTCAGCACAACCATATGGTTGTTCACCCATTGCCCCTAGGAGTCTCTTCATCCTGTTCAACTGGGACACAACTCTTACTACCGCTGATGTGTGTAAGTTCTCTTGGGCCCTGACACTTTTAATCACAAGATCTAAGCTCTGCAATAACATGTATCTATTCTGAAACTTTCAGAAGACAATAGATGTTCAAGCAACCCAGAATTTCAGAGTCAGCATCAGCAGCAGTGCCAGACTTGGAGACAAAGAGCAACATTT